TGCACAGGATCCTGGTGACATCCGTTTTTTGGCGACTTTGTGGACAGTTGCAGATGGATGGATTTAGCGATCCGTCACCTATATATATATATATATATATATATATATATATATATATATATATATATATATATATATGTGTGTGTGTGTGTGTGTGTGTGTGTGTGTGTGTGTGTGTGTGTGGTGTGTGTGCGTGCGTGCGTGGTGCGTGCGTGCGTGCGTGCGTGCGTGCGTGCGTGCGTGCGTGCGTGCGTGCGTGCGTGCGTGCGTGCGTGCGTGCGTGCGTGCGTGTAGTGTGAATATCCATATGTATATGTGAATCAATGCCCATATGGACATCAAGTTTTCATGAAATTGCTAGGCACAGCAACCTGGACCCTCAAGTTGCTCACCGCAAATTATATTTTGGATTGTCCCAAAATGTTCCTATGGCTGCAGAAACATACTGTTCTTTGTAACTTAGTATCCTTTATTTTTGGAAAAGTGTCCTAAAACGTTATTCAAGTCCCTCATGGGGCCCAAATGATGAAATGAAAAGTTTCAAGGACAATATAGGTCAGACACCTTTTGATTGTTGCTACACCCATGTACATTGCACTCACATGCCCCAATTAGGCAGCCAAGGTATGACGCAGTAATGGGTCAAGTCGTGTCTACGCAACATAATCAGCTATGTTGACAACATTTAGGCATTTTTAGATATAGATGAATTTATCTTAGTTTTTTAACGAAAAGAACGCCTTTGCAAGGGACTCACGAGAGCATGTCGCCGGAAACCAAGCAAAACGCATGCTGTTACAAGTAGGAAGATACGCGTGTAAAAGAAGATGATCCTGGCTGAAGGTTTCTAGACTTCATGGCGAAATATGAAGATATCATTTCGTATGCCTTCATTCCGAATGCATCCTTGTTGACAGGCGTAAGCGAGTGCCGTGGCCGGGGTGACAATCGACATCCCGCAGCCTTCCGGAATGTCAATGTGTGGAGGCCAACATGGCGCTCAAGTTCGAAAGATTTGTTGGGACTATTGGTCCCCATGACCATGGGGGCATGATCCCAACAATCCCCTGCCCCCCCCCCCCCCCCCCATTGCTGCCCGTTCACGTTTGCCACCATAGCTTGGCACCAGGGGCGTGGAGCGACTCGAGACTGTATTGCTTTAATAGGGAATCCAGCAGCGAATCGCGTGGCGTCATGTGCGTGCCGCACCGGCCATCTGTCACGCCGACACAACCTGGAAAGATGGATTTTGTTTTTTCAACGGGTTTACACTTTTTACCGTGCATTGGCACCCAGGACACGGAGCCACTTGGTGGTGGCATGCTCTGACACGGAGCTGAACGGACAATCACGTGCAAAGTTTGTGGTTGTACGTGTCAAGTGCCACGTGCGTACGAGCCAGCAGGATTGATACGGGCATTTCCAACCGCTTTCACGTTTTTTTTCGCCATATCTCAACACCCAAAGCAGCTAGATAAGTGAATCCAACTGCAAAATCTGCATAAATCGTATGTCTTCTTTTAGCAAAGAGCGTGGCGAAGCAAACGTGCAAACGCTTGTGTGCTCGAAATCTGCACGAAGTCTGGGGGAAACCTTACGGACATTGTTCTGTTGTCCGGAAGGAAACCTATATTGTCAGGTAGATGGCGTCGCTGTGTTCCCCCTGGGCGTACTCTGGGCCTATACTATGACAATCAAGAGCTGTTCGTCGCTGGATTTCACACCAGTGAAACTGAAAGAAGAGATCACCAGTTTTCGGACACCCTGTACGGTATCTTATTAACCCAGTCTCAACATTCTTACGACACCACTCCCAAACCCCGCCCCGATATAGCGGTGGAGACAGATGTGTCGAATGGGGTGGAAAACAGATCTATAAACGCATCGATACCGCGGTAATTTTCAAATTGTTCCATCCAATATTCAAGTGTTTTTTATCCAAGAATTAGACCGCTTCGACAGACCTAAGGGTGGCCTTCGAACTCATCTAAAGTTCCCTTAGTCATAAAAGGGTACAGGAATATTCCTTGGCGAAATTTGGGGCAAATTCGATGATAGAAAGCCCTTAGTGAAATATAAATCAGTACATCCGTTGACAACGTTTGATAAGTATCCTGGATACCAGAGGATCCTTTAACCTAGTTTTAAAACAAACCCTAGATCCCACAGGATGTCGGCTGTAGTTCTTAGGGTTCTGATCCTGTCATCCTGCTTGTGATTTCCCACTTGTCTGGTTATCGTTGAATCTCGTTTATTTTTGGTGTATTAAGTCATAATGCCGAATAATCAGGGGCCCATTGCCTCTTTGCATCACCTTAGGCAGTGCTAATTTTCGGGAGTTAGATGAGCCAACTTACGGGCGGGCCGCTGCTGACTGGTCCGTGACCGTGCTTTGGAAGGCAATTTTATCGCGATGCCTCAGGTGGACGGGTTGAGTTTGTCAACTGTTAAAATGTCTCTCTGTTTCAGGTATAAAATGCCCCGTGTGCAACAAGTTTGTGCTGCCGGACGATGTAGAGTGTCACATTGTGATGTGCCTCACGAAGCCACGGATCAGCTACAATGGTACGTAGTCAGTCGTTGAACGTCATGCTCTCGACTTTGTTCGGGACCTTGGCGGGGATGGTGGCCATAACGTTAATGCGTCCCAGCTTATAGTGTTTCTTGAAAGGAGTATTCCACATTAAAAAATGTCAGGGCAACGTCAGATACGATGGAAAAGGTTCACCTGGTACTGTTAGCTGCTTTTGAGTGCAAAGCACTGCTTTAGATAATCAAGTTTAGATTGTGTAAAGTCACTCGTCAATGCGTCATCGTTTCATGAAGTCAAGGAACGTTTTGAAGACGTCAGTCGCTGCCAGACTGGCCGTGTAAAAATTCCCGGGGGGCGGGCCGACTGACTCACTTGAAGTGCTTGCATTCACCGCAAGGTGGCTTGTTAACTTGAAACTGCTAGATAAACCTGACGATCGTTCTGGTGCGTATGTTATCCTTTTCTCATGGTGTTTTTGCGTATTTGTATGTGATAACATGCTTTTTAGTTGCATCTGCATTCTCGGTTACGGCGCCTTTATTAAGTTATTCGATCCCCAGTCTCATGTCCGCCACAATTAGAAGGGCGTCTCAAATGCCCGCATAATGTCTCACATAAGCGGGATGTGTGATCGAGCATCCACCCTGCCATCATCTTTCTCATTCTATCCTGCATCCTCGCGACTCCCCGCTTTTCCGGGCAGGCTGCATGCGCCGCCCACGGGCCGGCCTAAGGCCTTCTATTGGGGCCCCGTCCGAGCGCTAAGCGCACATCGCGCGGAGAGGTCACTGCGGGCGGAGCCCCGGTTATTGGGGTCCCTGGTGCATGCAGCCCCGCCCCACTGTTATTCGTTCTCCTTCACCTCACAGCCATGAAATGGCCATGAGTGACCGAAAGGGCTATTATCCAATTAACCAAATCGCCATCGATATTTGGATTTAACGCGTTAAGCTGGTTGAGGGCCAATTGCTGTCCGTTGACGCGGTGATTCGTGCTGCCGTACTACAGACACCAGCAGGGCAGTGGTGACATTTGTTCTTGACCTTAAACCCAGTATGACCACCGAGGAGGCGGAATGCCTTTGATGTTTCTATGATATGCATTTCTGGGTGACTTCAAAATCGGCGGTGCGAAATAGTCGTCACATGCGCGAGCTTAGCTTGGAAATGAGGGAATTGGAAGTTCTGAAAAAGACATAACTGTGAACTCCAGGAAATGATCTTAAAAACGGCTGTACCAGTTCAAAACCCCATGCAGATATTGTTCAGTCTATTTACCATGTTTTACCAATGTACAATAACTTGTTTCCTGTGTCGAGTTTCGCTCGCCTTTTCCGGCGTTTTGTCTCGCTTGAATCAGGCACTGACCCGGGCCATGTGGATCCTCCGGGAGATGCTCTCATTCAGCCGATGCCGGGTGGACGGAGACTGCAGCCCGCGCCGCTCCCACCGGTCCTGGCACCGGGACGTGTCTGATCGGCTCAGGTCGACTGGGCACGCCGACGTACTTCACCCCGTCTGTGGTGGTCAGCACGGGGCCCTGCGGCTCAGCATGGCCACGCCGCCGCCGCCGCCGGCCGGCCGGTCGGCGCCGATCGCCGCGGTATTCGTCACGTGTGACGCCTCGTGCCGTGTACGGTGTCACTGTGACGCTCACGCGGCCTGTACGCCGAAAGGGTGGCACTAGTGAGGACGCTGGTGGAGGAAGCTAGGTGGCTGACGCCTCGGCACGTCAAGGTGGACAGTAGCGTGATGCGAAAAATGTTTTTTGCGGGGTGGTGAGAGGTACGACTTTTTAAAAGGCTGCCTCACATCGAATCATCCGGTCCGAATTTTGGTTTCGGCCACTGTATCTGCAGAGGCTCATTATTCCTTTTTTTGCAAAGTGCGAACTCCGGAACAGGGCTATTTTTTCTCCCGCGGGGTAGCCGCGACCTTGCTCCACTGGATCAGCCATTGGCTGTCGGGTCGTAAAAATTCGTTGCCCTGTACCAAAGCAACTATACATGCACACTCAAACTACCAAAGACACCGCGGGTGCCATAAATACCATAAACATACCAAAGCCACTATAGGGACAGTCGTGGTCACATGGGTACCCTTCAGATGTTCACTTGCTCGAAACGTCATGTGACCTCTATTCATGCGATTCATTAATTAGCAATTCCATATTATCGCGAGCTGTGTCAAATTGTCAGAATATTAGCATTAAACACGAGTTTATGTGCTCATCATCTGTCCGTGCGCAGTCCAGGCTTAGTGTTGATTTTAACTTCGAGTTACAATCAAGAGTACGAGTTACCAGATTCGGGAAACATTTGAGAAACGTGTTCGAATTTAATTATGTTTGTTCTCCAGTCTGTTCTGTGTCCTACCTGTGAAAGATTACGCAGTGGACAAGCAAACTCAAGCATCAAGGCGTCAAGGGCGTCACTTCAGTAACATCGATATGTTTTGTCACTATGTCATTTAGTCACGCCGTGAGGGTCGGCTCGGTGACGGTGACAACGAAACGGAAAAGTTGAACATGGGATTCGCTCCCGGTGGATAAAATTGGCCATACGAATCCGTGAGCGGTACGCCAGAAGAGAGGATCTGAGCTGTGAACTGAAGCAGCTCATCACCTGCGCACAGCATGTTTTCTGCCCCCATGTGATTAAGTGTAAAAGCTAACCATGTGATTAAGTGTAAAAGTTCACCAGTGTTTTTGAAGTTTGTATCTTCTGTACTGCGAAGCTGCTGAAGTTGCAACCGAGAAATGTCCATGGTGTGACTTGGTGTGGTCAAAACAGCGCGCATTTGTGCAAAATAACGCGTGTGACTCTAAACCCCGAAACATGCTTTTGTCTATGATTGCTCTGAAAAGAGGGGACTGGTGGCAAAAGAAGATAGCGGTCATAAGTCTTGTCACAAAGAAACGAGGCTCGCGCCACACTGTTTCTTTCGTATTTCGGAGCTGATTTGGGAGGCTCTGTCCTATCGTGAAATAATCAACCGGGCCAAGACAAATCTCTGAGCCGCCAGTATCGGGGCACATGCCAGCCTGTGCTGTAGAAGGCGCTCGAGATGATCCCCTGAACCTGCCGAACTTTTCTTATCACTCCCAGATCATTGAAAGATGCGTGAAGCTCGTCATGGAGGCCTCACGATCCATGTTCGGCCACGAACAGTCGCACGCTCTCATCGTTTCCGTGTCAGGTAGCTCTCAAAATTGAAGAAGTCCGGCTCTGAAAGAGCTTACTTAGGCGCCATATGACATCAGAAGTGGGCGCTCCAAAAAAGAAAGGGGAAAAAAATGACCAGCAGGCATGACCTCTCGTGCGTTGTAGGGACGAAGTAGCATTCGGGGCGTTTGTGTTCGTTTGCTTGGTATAGGTTGTTTCGTAGGTTTAAAGCTGACGGGTGAAAACAAATCAGTCATGATAGATCCGACCATGTTTCTCGAATTTTCCGTGAAGGGAACTCGAAGCTTGGATTAAGGCTCAGATGACAAACAGATGCCGTCCTCCGAAGAGACCTTGTGTTTATTGTTATGTTCTACAAAATGTCAAGCAGCTGGCGACCATATGACGCCATCAGATACTTATATTTTGGATATAACATGACACTCCGACGAGCGTTTCCTTGAAGGATACGCACAAACGGCCATCGGTGGTTTTCTAATTCTGCTTTAGCTAAAGAAATGCATTTCTTCCGATCCGGCAGACAGGAGGAGGTATAGTAGACAATCACGAGGTCACTTCTATCAATTTAAGAAAGACATTCTTCTTCAAAAGCCCACTCCTTTGCAGACATTTCGAAAATGATACCCTGCACAGGAGCGTTTTTTTCGTTTTGTTATCGTCTTCCTTATATCAACTTCCAACTTGTGTAACAATTACCTTGCATACGAATGGCTATCATTTTTATAGTCGTCTTGCTTATATCAACTTTTAAATTGATCAGCCTGCTGATCAGATTTCCATTGTGTGGTAACTGATTGGCATTGTAAGTAAAATCTCAAATTTTTATTCTGTCACTGAGCCTTGATCCAAGCCAAGGTTTTGGAGTAACATTAGGATGCGGCCCGGCGATCCCATCATGACTCTTGATCAGGTTAGGTTCCACAGGATTTTGGATGGCCCGTCCTTGACTATTCCCAGGAAACGCAACTGCCTAGCACGCTGTCAACCATTCTCCATTCAAAGCGTGATGGTTTGTCCAAGCCCTGCATTACTGCGTTCTGGGTAGGCGCCGCTGCGACGTTATTATGGGACAGAGTCATATGACACCACGCTACGGCGGCGTGAAAACGCTGCTCGTTGCGGGATGATTTAAAACACGAGTAGTGCCGTACAACCGGAATCTTACGACTTGGCGCATTCAAACGGGGCATTTTGAGCTGGGAAGTGGCGTGGGCTTGCGCTAGAACCATGAAATTATGCTTAAATATGCGTTTTCAACCTGCCCCCGGCAGATAAATGGGGCAGCCCATTCACCAGCGATTTAGTCCGAAGAACTGTAGCTGGAAGTGCTTAGGCAGCAGTCTGTGTAAAAGATACAACATACAACAACGACAGCGCCATAGGGTAGGGGGTGAGAAACCGCTATGTGATGGGGTGGACATGTGACTCAGGCGTTGGTACTGCAGGCTAAGCAGGTGACTGAACCATGCCTGAAAGTCCTAGTCCGGACCTGGTCGGTCACCAGCGCGATGCACACCGTGCGACAGCATTCCAGTCTGTCGTTAGGGGTCGACAAGTCCCTCCTTTTATGTGTCTGGATCAATGGCGCATAGGCCGGTCGATGCTGTGTTTCCAGACATGCCTCGATACCAGTGCGGTCAGGGCCACCCGGTACGTCCTTTGTTTTCCCGATCCGCGTGGCCGGCGAGCGAATGCATTAAGAGCGTCCTGAAAACGGAGCCGACGCCGGCGCCTGTCACTGGTGACAGTATAACTCAGAAGAACGGTAGAAAAAAACAACTTTTGCGCAATTTTCGTCAGCCAGAAAACTGTGCCTGCTTTTTTGTAAAAGCATTTTGCACTCCTCTT